TGCTTCTGTAGTTGCTGTGAGTCGGAGGTGACTTGATGGCACATAACAACAACAGAAACTGTATTGGGTTGGTCCTACTGTCCTGTGTTCCTCAAAGGTCTATAATGCAAAGCAAAAAACAAAACAAAACCCACTGCCATCAAGTCAATTCTGACTCCTAGTGACTCCCATAGGGTTTCCAAGGCTGTAAATCTTTATGGAAGCAGACTGCCTCATCTTTCTCTCGTGGAGTGACTGGTGGGTTTGAACCACAAATCTTTTGATTAGCAGTCCAATGCCTTAGCCACAGGACCACCAGAGCTCCTATAATGCAAAGCAGACAGAACGTTATTTATTGTCACTTTATGATCATAAGCATTAGTACCAATAACAATATCAATAACAAAATGCTTTTCAGCAACTGTCCTCACAGCAGCGCTATGAAATGGGTACTATTATTCCCATTTATAGATGAAAAACAGAGGCTTGGAGCACTGTCTTGTTCAAGGTCACAAACAGGTTTTTCAATTCCAGATCCTGAGTGTTTCTCACTGTGTTCTGAGAAGTGCAGGCACGTCACAGTGAATGGTAGGGAGTCAGACGCTGTGTGACCTGAACAGGAGGGTTCTGAGAGAGAGCATTTCACAGGATAACCCCGGGAAGGTAAGGCAGAGGCTGTCCTCCTGGGGTTTGCTGCCGTCACAGACAGAAGTTAACATACATGAGATTTCAACTGAGATGGTGCACAGACTCGGCACGCATGCAATGAGGGCAGATTTTATCATTCATAATTCTCATTTCCGGAAAAATGGACTGCTAGGCTAATGGGAAAAAACAAAAGCCAGGAGCCGGGGAGTCGATTCTGACTCACAGCAACCACACGTGTCAGAGCAGGCCTGTGCCCCATCGGGTTTTCAAGGACTGATTTTCCGGAAGTCAGTCACCAAATCTTTCTTCCCAGGTGACTCCAACCTCCATCCACCCTTTCGGTCAGCAGCCCTGGAGCTCCAAGCTAATGGGAAAAACCAATCTTAATTCTGCCTTAAGAAAACGTTGTCCGCTCATCTCTAAAAAAACAAAAGTCCTTTTCTGCCAACAAGTGATGTCTTGTGAGCTAAGAGGCTCTGACGAAGATCACTTACCAGATCACTAATAGACCTGCTGCCACGCGGGCTCCTCGTGGGAACCCAGAAGCCAGACATTTAAGACCCTAAACACTCTGGACGTTTTTATCTCAGACAAAGGGGCTGCAAGTATGGATTCAAATCACTTGGATTAGCAATACTGTTTTCAGAACAGAGGCGGTTGAATTGAAAGTTTAATTAGTGTTTTGTTTTACTGATTCCAGTGGACATCTTAGCAGTTCAGCATTCTGATGCACCCATTTCCTGTACCTCAGCTTCTATGTCTGTAAAATACTGACAACCTCTCTCACAGGACTGCTATGAGGACCAAATGAGTTTATTTATAAAGCACCTTGAACCATGCCAGACACATGTTAAGCACTATGTCTCTTAAATAACTAATATTAAACAAATGCATGGATATGTCCATAGCTATTTATATATTTTGCAAGTGAAATTTTAATTTTTTTTTTCAAAATTCCAAAGTAATTTAAAAATTGTTATTTGCACAGTTGTCAGTCCAGGAAACATACTTCAGGAATGAAAGTAATGTCCTATAACTAAAATTTGAAATCCCACTCAAAATGCATAAGTTTGATTAGTATGGAACTGTAGTCTCTTTGGCCTGATAAACATTAAAGATAGCTTTAGAAGTTCACCATGGGTTTTTTTTTTTTCCCCCCTCATTACTGATGTCAGCAAGTAAGCTCATCCACAGTTTAAAGAACTCTAGGAATAATGCAGTGATTGAATTTTTCTTCTTCTTTTGTTAGTAAATATTTTCATTTTTCTTGGCTTGATTTCTTTTAGGTCTGGACGTGAGTGATTGTTTTGAAGGGTAGCCCTTAGCACACAGCATTTCCCCGCTACCGTAAAAGACTTCATCTGTCTGGGCTCTATGTGAGTAGGAGCCATTGACAGCAGTACTCAGCACAAACCACCGTCTTCAAGTGTAAGTTTAAAGAATTCCAAAAAGGAGTGTTTGCTTGTAGAAATTGTATGCAGGCCCAGGGAGAAAGTCTGGAATGCCGAGAATGGAATGGAACCAGGACTCAGAAGAAGGAGATATGAATCGCAACGATGCTTTGCAGTGTAAAAGTCGTTCCATCTCATGTTGGCACTAATTTTCTTTTAGTAGAACTGCCATTTTGTTTTCTTGTAACCACGGCTATTCTGTAAGACTTTTGTCTCTTTTGCTTATGCGCTGTTTCATCAAACAGACTTTGTGGAGAGGGGATAGGAACAGAAAGATGTACCTATTCCAGTCACTCTGAACTCCCTCCTCCTCTTCCCTTCCCCTCTGATAGCTAGCCCAATCCTAACCAAACCTCTGTAGCCCCCTGCAGCAGCTCTGCTCCTTGCATAAACTCTGCCAAGCTCAGAAAGCCTCTTCCACTGTGGTTTTCCTACCAGGCCCAGCGAGATGGGGAAGGAGCAGGGGACAGGTTCCAGTTATTCAGGTGAGACCTGAACTACAGTTCCACCCTATAGAAACAATGTTTTAAAGATGTTTAAGTTCTTTGGTAGTAACAGTATAGGGCACCTACACTCACATAAGGAGTGCCTAAGGCACTTGACTGCTAACCAGAAGGCTGGTGGTTCAAACCCACCAGCCACTCCTCAGAAGGAAGATGGGGCAATCTACTTCCATAGTGATATGGCCTCAGAAACCCAAGGAGGGGTCGCTATGAGTCGAGTCCAACTCGATGGCACATAACAACAACAAGACTGACATAACAACAATCATGAAGATGACACAGGACCAGGCAGTGTTTCACCTGTTATATATAAGGTCACTGTGCATCAGAGCTGACTGGATGACAACCAACAAAAACAATACTGAGAAGCACACAGGCCTCTGTGCATTGGCTCTAGCTAACTTTATATTATTGATTCAGTATCTCATTTCCAAATACCTGACCTCGAATGAACTTTTACAACAGAACTTGAAACGAAGTGGGGGACTGTTTTTTATATATCCACACACTCAGGGACAGTTCCTCTTTCTACCCATCAGGCTGTCCATTTGTCTATCCCTTCAAACCATCCTTTTATTAAGATACAGAATAATTGCCAAAGAAAAGTGAACAGCAAAAAGCTAAGGTTTAAAGTATTAAACATTTTATATTTATTGAGTTCAAAAGTCATGGTTTTATTATAAATTCATCTCCACTGAGTTAAATCAACATAAAAATTTATTTTTATTTTTTTATGAGATAGGAGGCAGTGTGGTATAAAACATAGGATATGAGTTTTGTAGTTAAAACTATGATTCTTGGATCAAGCTACTTTATCCAAGCTTGTTTCCTTCTCTGTAAACAAGGATGTCTATTAACTTTGAGGCCTGTTTTTTAACTAGATAATGTAAAGTCCTCACATCAAATCTGGCATCGAACATAGGGGCTGCTTCCCATCCTTTCTCTAGACTTGGGTCCCTAGTCCATATTATATGTTTGACTTAAATAGGCTAATGTCCAAAATAGGCTGATGTGGATGGATTATTAATAAATAGGTTTAAGAAGTTAAGTATATTGGCACTTGTAATCATTCGTTTGAACAGATTCACCTGTGCCGACCCATACGCTTGATTTTCACAAGAATTTGTAAATTGCACATTTTTTAATTTTTCTTTTAAAAGAGGGATCTAGACTCTCTTAAGAGCCTTAGCCAAGTTTCGCTCTGTGGCAAGAGTTAGTAAAGTCAGATTTTACTTAAGTTAGTCAAGAAATCACCCAATGACCTCCAGTCAGACTTCATTTTAAACAGGCTTGTTAAGTGTTCTTTCCTATTTACTATTAGGCCTGTCTCCCCTCAGAAGCAGCTGCAAGGGGGCTGGGGGTGGGGTCCGGGTTGTGGCATCGCTGCAGCAGAACAAATACACAAACAGCACCGAAGACCCACTTGTGTACTGGGGCCCTGGCAGCCTCACAGGAGCCGACGCAACTGTGCTGCTTGGAGTATCTGTGACTCTGCCCCCTCCTGACACTCTCACAGGTCCCCAACTCCTGCTGGCTGTCAAGAGTTGGGGGTATCCGCAGGAAGATCTGACCCTGGTCAGCTGGAATTTGACACACTGTATCTGATGGGTCATATCCTTGATATTTCTCAGGTAACTGAGTCAGCTTGAGATCAGGTCCTGCCTGCTAAGCATACACTCTCTGCTGTAAGGGAACCTGAAGTCCAGGGAGATTTATTATAGTTTAGAGACAAAGAGATCACATGTATAAATCCATGTTCTAAAATAGTATTCACTCCAGTGTGTAATCAATCATTGTCTTTGTCTTGAACAAAAGGGCAGGGTCCTTTCTTCCTTTCATGAAAGGTGTGTTTGTATCATGTGACTGCTATGTAGCCAAACTTGGTACACAGGCACATTATGCTCACCTGTGTTCTGTTCACTCGGGGTTCATTCAGATGATTTAACCTAAAGCTAAAAAGTCTGGTCCTACGTTAGTCTTCTGCAGAACTGATTTTAATTGTGTGGTGCAGAACTAATTCAAAAGAAAAAAAGCAAACTCACTGCATGGAGTCCACTCGACTCATAGCGACCCCTCCTTGGGTTTCCAAGGCGGTATCTCTACAGAAGTAGAATGAATGCCCAGTCTTCCTTCCGAGGAGTGGCTGGTGGATTTGAACCGCCAGCCTTCTGGTTAGCAGTCAAATGCCTTAGGCACTACGCCACCAGTGCTCCTAATAAATAGGCAAAAAAAAAAAAAAAAAAAAGTAAACCTTTCACTTACTAAGCCACTACATCTTTGACAGCAATTTTAAATAAAAATGGTCCAGAGGACAAAGTGCATAATTAATGATGAGAAAATGATTCCTTCACATCCTGCAATCAAGACTTCTCCCTGCATTAATCATGTGTCCAGAATTTTATTGGTGCAAGAGTGATGGTTACTTTCGGCCTCTGTCCCCTTCATTCCAGTACTGCTCAGTCTGCATTTCTGTGAGTCGGGAAATCGTGCGCTGAAATGCAAAGATTTCTTCCTCGCCAGTGAACATGGAAAGTCCTTCCGCTGAGTCCTGGTTAGAAAATAAACCCAGCACCAATCAAAACCACCACAAGTGAAAATTTATACAAATAAGTGCAGGATTTTAAAAAACTTTCAGGTGTATTTTTTAAGTGATAAAAATTTCTTGAAATATCTTCATATACAGTAAAACTTGTGAAAGCCGGAACCTGTGTAAATGGGAACCTGTCAGAGAAGGAAAACTCAGATATTTTCCACTAATAGAAAATGCTAGGAGAGTGGTAGGACTGCATCCTGTCAAAGGCAGAAAACTAAGAGATCCAGGAAAACAGGCAGTCCCGTCTAGTTCCAGCTCTCACGGGTTTCCCTGTACAGTCTCTTTAAATAGACCAGAGTTGGAAGTAATTTAAGCCAACAGAAAGCAAACAGAACAAATGACCAGGGAAGAAGACTTAAAAGGGAAAACATTAAAAGCAGAAATAAAGCTTTTCAGCAAACATCCAAAAAATCCAATTATGAACTTTTTTGCTTAAAGTTCTCAGCTAAATCTTAAAAAAAAAAAAAAAAAAAAAAAAGGAGATTCCAGAGAGAATGAATTCCTTCTCCCAAAGTGGGCATCAGAAATCAGTGAGAGTAAAATTAGGAAGCGGCTAATGCTCTCCTCGGAGGCTTCAGGGTGGGTTCACATGCCGGCGGGGAGGGCTAAGGACCAACCTCTGGAGGCCGTTTTCCAAACTAGATGACTGCAAGGTCCCCAGGGGGCCTGGAGATTGTGTCTGGGACCTTGCTTGACAGATGCCACAGCAGCTTGGGCTCCTGAACTGCTGAATGCTGCATCCCCCCATTTAGGGTTAAGCTGGGGACCCTGTCCCTATGAGACTGCTTAACAGTCCAGGACTGGAACACCAAGGTGGGCTCGTGGCCACTCAGAGGGCTTTGAATTTTCAGCTCTTTCCTTAGGGGTTGACTACTAAGCTCTTTCAGAGAAAAATTCTGGACTCCTAAGTCCATCTTCCCCATGGTCCTCATGCCCCTGAGGTTCTGCGCCCCATTTCTTCATCCGTTACCACCCCAAATGCCGTGCTTCCTCTGTCCCGTGTCTGAACCCTGATCTTAGGGGGGAAAATTAAGAGCCAATGACTTAAAGGACTTTAGAAACTGAGAAGATGTCACTCCTCGGTGAAGACTAAACTGTGTCCCCTTCCCCATCCCCAAAATATGCATTGAAACTCTGGCCCCCATACCTGTAATATGACCCTGTTTGGAGACAGAGTTTTGTTTGTTGTTAATCAAGCCATTCTCAAGGTGAGTATAGATAGATAGTTTAAAAGCTTGACTAATATACTAATTGTCTATAATTGAGAAAAACTCTACTTTATCACATTCTTACAGAAGAAGGAAATGCAGTCATGTTGCTCGGTGTGGGGTCAGTCACCAGACTCTAAGCTCCGGGAAGACTGGCCACTATCAGCTTTTTCCTACTAAGTCTCCCAGAGCCTGGCAGCTACAGGTGCTCCATAAATGTCTGCAGGATGGAGAGTGGGAGATGACTCACAGACTTCTTTTTAAGCCAACAGCCTTGCGAGACACTGCATGGTCCCAGCATAGTCAGTTCACATATGCTGATACTGTATCATGCACTTGCCAAATCCAGAAACACGAAGAAGTATCCAGAGAAGGCAGAGTGCTGTAGCAGAAGGAGCCTGGACCCAGACACAGTGCCCTGCTGTCCTGCTCTGGCCTGCTATCAATCAGCTGTTTGACTGCAGGCCATCCTCTCTGGACTTCGTTTCTGCCACATGCAAAATGAAGTGTTGGACTACATACATGATGACTACATTTCCTTGCTCTCTAAGGCTGCATTTTTCTATATTTAGTGATATTGAGAATAAGAAGTCTGCTATAATAGCTTTAGAAGAAAGCAGCAAGCCAGTGGTTAAATATATACTGTATCCCTTCTTCAAAATGTAGCTATACATCTGACTAAAACCAATTAAGCTGTTTTATTATATATATATATGAGCTCTGGTAGCATAGTGGCTAAAGCACTTGACTGCTAACCAGAAGGCTGGCGGTTCAAACCCACCAGCCACTCCTCGGAAGGAAGGCTGGGCAATCCT